AAACTGGAAGTGCTGTGCAGACTGCTGTTTAGTGACATCCAATCTGACCTATTGAAAAAGGTATATTGTATACCTCCACACTCTTAATACTATGATTCTAAAGAATTAGAAACTCTATAGACACAGTATTAAAAAGGCAGAATTTTTCTTATAAAAGTCTCTTTAGAAGGTTTTGATTTACTGACTTCAGCTTCATGTAGTTGTTTTACTGACGTTTATGAATTTCATCACATGCCTGGAAGTGAGATTTAATACAGTGTGATTCATCTGGCTTCCGTCTATGGAAATCTCCCTCTAAGTGCATCTCTTTCAGTGGATGTGGGGTGTCTGGCCTGAAGTGATTGGTATCTTTGCTTTTTCATTGTGAAATAGTGTGGGCTTAATGCTGTCCAAAAAATGCATTTTACATTGAGAATTTCTGCAGCTGTTAGTTACGCAAATAGTCAAGTTGCACATGACAGAGTTTCTGCTGCAGGCAGTGTGTATTCACTTGTTTCTGCTTCATGAAGGTCATAGGTAAGATACTGTTACCCTAAGAAGTGGAGCAGCAAGTATTCACATGGGTGAATAATGTTACTCCTTGGCAGAGTCCCAGTGAAGTTAATGAGACTACTTAAAAAGATGAAAATATGCAGCTATTTTGTGGAATCTATATCCTTTAATGTTGAAGTGTACCGGTGCGAAATACTGATTTCTGCATGATGCTTGGTATTTTGTAGGTTACAGCCATGCCACAATCCAATTTTATGGATTCTTACAGAATATCTTAATAACTGTTAATTATTAAAATCCAGTTGCATGATCAGTGGGATGCCTGAGGAAAAATAGGTGTTTTGTGTTACTCTTTAACTGTGTTGTATTAATAATGTCCTCTGTTTTATTAATAATACCCTAAAGTATATAACTCGTGCTAGAGTATCTATTTCATCTTATCAGTGGGATGTGTTAGGCCAGAGCAATCTCATGTTAAGTATAATTACAGGTATGAGCCAGGAAGGCCTATTCAGGGTAAATGGCAGCATGAAAATGGTGGAGCAATTGCGCCTGCAGTATGAGCGTGGAGAAGAGGTGGAACTTGTTAAAGATGGGGATGTATACTCAGCAGCCAGTCTACTGAAATTATTTTTGAGAGAGTTGCCAGATGGGATTATCACATCTGCCTTACATCCCAGGTTCATTCAGCTTTACCAGGGTGAGTAAGTAGTAAAGATCTCTATATGTACTTCTTATTTTCTATACTTTGATTGTATGCAAAGGGAGCATAACAATGAAAAACAGTACTTTGTGTCACGGTTTACTTGTTCTCAGTTTCCTTGAACGTTACTCTCATGTGCTCCCAGAATGCTCACAGATGTGCAATTCTGATACTCTTTGTACAAATCACAATGACATTGAGATGGAAAATAATTTTTTGTGTTAGGTAAAATCTGGACTGTGTAGACCTTTCTAATCCAGTTTTCTGTGGGATACAAGCTTAAATGATCTGTTGTTTTTTTTCTGCAATCTTTGTAGACTATAACTGCATGCTCTTTAGAACACTTATTTGCTTCTGTTTTTATAGGACAGATTCTGCCAATTCTGTTTTAGCAGACTTAGAAAAGATCCACTGTTCTTAAAAATAAAATAAAATAAAATTATAATTTAGATATAATTTAGATTGAATGCACTTTGGGCCCAAAGTGTATGTTGTCTAAATGTCCATTTAATATCAAATGATTGCTTATCAAAATGAGACATTTTCAAAAATTTTCCTTTTATTCACAGTGTTAGCACACCACTTGCTCCCATCCCCTCAAGTGATGGCTCTCCCCAAGAAACAACACTTCTGGTTTAGAAAGTTGAGCAACTGAAACTTGCACAACTGTCTCAAATGATTTGTTGATCTAAGGCAGCTATGCTAGACAGTCCATATTGTTATGCAGAATGGATGATGATGGGCCGTATTCTTCAAGCCTGATGTTTGATGGCTGTGCTTGTCTCGCGTGGTGGGAGGCTGAAGCCTTTTCTTGTTGACCTTTTAAAAAGAGGCAGAGTGAATAAATGTTGCTATGTATGTGCTCATCACAGTAAAACTGGCAAGTGTGGTGCAAGTAGAGGAAGCATGTGCAGTGACACACAACCCCAGTGGAACACGAGCCAAGTTCTTAGGCTTTTGCCCCTTTGTGTTCTGGCATTTTTCTTGCTTGCAGAGATGAAATTCAGCTGTGACACTGAGGAGGGAGAGCATCTCAAGTGCCTCCTTTTTCTTTTTTTGGGCCTGTACATTCCCTGAAGGTGCGCTGGGAAAGCAGTCTTGGGTGCAGACAGTGTAGCTGTAACAAAGCCTTGTATGGGTCATGTAAAAATCCCTTCCTCTTTTTTATTGTTTCCTAGTAATGGATGTGCTTTCTCTCTCTCCTTTTTTTTTTTTTCTCTCTCTCATCAGATCTGACATGGCTTTCTCATGGCTCAGATTATCCTGGCTGGTAGATAGACTTATGTTTATGGTTAAATGATCAACCAGCTATGCAGGATTAGAGCAATTATCTATTCACTTATCAAAGTATGCACAAGGCTATCTATTGCAAAATGGTACCCAGCAGCAAATGTGCCTGAGTGTGTTTTTTTTTTTTTTTGTAAGCTATAAAGAAAGTAGGTCAAGCTGTTCCTGAGCCAATGTGTTCTTAAAAAAAAAAAAAATAGCCTTGACTCTAGAGTCACTTAACTGCATGTCTACAGTGAGGGCTGTTACAAGTTCTGCTATAACCACTGTGTTCCCTTTTGTTGAACCTTTGCATGATGTTTTTGTTCTTGTATTGTAATTTTGTTGGAAAGTTTTCAGGGATTGGTACCAAACAAAAGCTTAGTTTGAAAATAATGCAAATGTAGTTCCGTGAGATGTGTGGGCGTCTTCTTTGTTTGTTTTCCTTAATACAAAAATGTTAGCAAGTGGTTGTTCTAGTTAAAAATAGCTGGATAGGAGAGAGAGAGAGAGAGAGCAGCAGCAACAAAAAACAACGACAAAAAATGTCTGTAGATGTAATCTTCCGTAAGTCAGGGTATCATTTTTATTAACAACCCCATAAATAACTCATTAAAAAGAGACTGATCCGTTTGTATTCCATTTAGTCCATTCAGCTGGCTTGGTGTGCTATCTGAATTGTGTTGCCGTTTGTTTATATAAACATTTAGCAAATTCCCAGATCAAATAGCCCCAGAAGACATCATATAGCATATCCTGGAAGTGTTTTGGCATGTCTTGATGTCTTCTCTGTGTTCTCAGAGAAATGTAGTGACAGTGGAGTTGAGGGGGAACCTTTCTTGGTAGATGATATTGATCAGAGAGATGTATAGTGAACTCAAGCAAGGGATATGCTGATAGTGGTTTCCCTGTCACTGTTATCTGCAAAGCATCTGACAGACATAAACACTGGTCCATACAGGCAGTTCTTGGGAGTGGAAGTGTCCTTGGAAGTCTGTCCTGGATCAGAGACTTTACATGGTTAGGTACAGCTCCCTGCTTCAGTCACATGGACCCTGCTCACAGACCTGGACGATGGAAAGATGGTTCTCTGAGAAACCTCAATTGGAAGTGATTATCAGCTTGGGTGAAGAACTTGAAGTGTTTGTTTTATTCCTTCTGGCTTTGTATTCCTTATCTTTTGTATCATGGTCACTGCCTCTTAAGACTTTTGCTAATGGTAGGAATGAGCTCTGTAGGCAGCTCTTACCCTTTCACAGGTCACTTGGTTTTAGCAAGATAAGTTGTTATTGTACTTTTCCCCTTTAGCATACAGAAACCTTTTTCCTTATTTCTTCCCCTGCCACAACCATCTCCATTTCCTCCATTTTTCTTCCAGCAGAGATACAGCAAAATGCAGGCCCTTGTCTTTATTTAGGGTTCACTCTTAAATAAATTGAATCATGATGAATGCAAGAGGCTTTGATTCCTGCAACGGTCCTCTGGGTGCAGTGCTCACTATTATATACATTATATATATGTTATATACAACCTGGTACCTCTCTGCTGAAGACGAATTTCTTAGGGCACTTTGATAGCTACAGACAGATGCATAATCTTCTGTCTTTCTTTCAAGGTAGTATGCAAGGCAGCTGAAAGCTATGTGGCCATGATGACACTGAAGACACTGCCTGACAGTAGAGATAATGAGTTAAGGCATCATGCTAAAACCATTCCACTGCTTCCAGCCTGGAGTTGTTTGGGGTCAGACCATTTGAGATATGAGCAAAGCAAATATGTATGCCTGCAGATAGGCATATGTACCTTCAGAGATGTTCAGGCAGCATGCTGTGTTAGATGGAAAGAGTAGTGTGAAGAAGAATGGAACTTGGGAATTTTGTGTTAGTGTTTGGAACATACCAAAGAAACTTAATATATATGCAAATCGGCTGTGCCATTGGAACATGTGTTCCTCATGCAATCTTGAGTGGATACTGGAATTAAATGAGACTAAAAACACCCTTGCAAATGTGTCTGAAGATCTGCCTCCTACTGTGCTGAGGCTCCTGTTTCTAGTTAGTGAAGATTTGCTTTCTCCTTTGGCTATGAAAGTGCCTACCCTTTTTGATTGTCTCCTTGACTTTTCCTATCCTTACCTTAACTCTGAGCTGCTGTGCTGCTTTTGTTGACTTCCTTGCCTGTTGTCAATCACGCAGTGTTCTGCCATTCTCCAGCTGGTGAGTGTAGACGTGACTTCAGGCTGCCTGTTTTCTTTGAGTGAATTTCCTCCTTCCTCAAGCCCAGAACACAGTGTCCCATATTCTCCTTCAGGCCCTTTCTTCACTCATCTAGCAGGCTTCTCTTGCTGATTTTTTTCTAGGGTGCCGTTTGTCTAATGTTACTGTTCTCAGGCTTCCAAAATAAAAAAGTGAATGCTTTAAGTTTGCCTGAGAGCAGCTTTCACTTTCCTTTATTTTCCTGTTACTCCTTTCTCCTTCTTTCTATCTTATTGGGCAAGAGTTTCCAAAGAGCTCAATGTACTGAATGAAATATTGTGTTTTTCATTTGGAAAGCTGGCTTAAATATAAGTTCCCAAATTGGAGTAGAATGCCTTTGAAAATCTGTCACTCTGGTGTTTCCATTACCTTGACAAGCTCATTTGTCTCATCTTAAAATGAGACAGAGACTGAAGTATGTGCTTAGCCTCATACCGCCCTATTTTACCTTACTGAATAAGTAAGTATCCTGACTACAGTGGTACAGCTTCGATCATGCAAAATATGGCTTATACATAACCTTAGGGCTTTAATAGACTCAATGCTTGTCTTCACATTCATGAAGGCTGTATTTGGTTTGACTATTTTCTTGCTGTTCGGCTGGAGAAGGGGGAGAGAAGGCAACCACGTTTTCTAGTTACCCTTTCAGTTGGGTAAAGAACTTCAGGCCTGAGTAAACAGTAAAGTTTTTTTGCTTCATGCTATTCAGTGACTCTGGGCCCTTCAATTAGGTAATTTCTGAATATCTTATATTCTCATACCTGACTATTCTTGAAAGTATTAGAAATAAAGGCATAACACACCTTATTCTGTTATAATTAGCAGTAAGGCACAAAGATTTGGCTTTACCCAGTGGTAAGTGTCTTTGCTATTGATCCGTACCACATGATCCACCATGATTAATGAACAGGGGCATCCAGTTCCATAACTATAACCGATGACATAAGGCCAATAGTTTTGTTTGTAGTCAGAGTGCATGCCTGGGTTCAGAATGTCTTAGCACCTTGCTAATTTTGAAGTGTTGGGAAATCATTCAGTAAATGGAAAAGTACTCGACAACCTCAAGCCTCAGTGGGAGGCTCAGAGAAGCCAATGCTTCTCTAGGGCATTTCCTAATTAGGTGATGGGATGGTGGTGATAGAAAGATGTCCTTTTCTGAGTAAAGTCTGTGCCTTTCCTGATCGTAACTGCAAGCAGTTAATAGTAAAAGACAGTATGTGCTAGTTTCATTATCTAAAGAGAAGTATGTTAGGAGGTGCATTTTAATGTTCTAACTCTGTGAAAATCAGTCATGTTTTTGACCTTAAGTTTATGAAAAAGTAGTTAGTGATCAAGTCAAAGACTGTCCTGTCCACTTTGATCTATTCAGATATAAATCCTGTTAAATTCCTTATTGTAATTTAATTTAATGCAGCCTTCTGGAAGAGTCCTGAAATTTTGCTGCATAAAATAATAAATCAGATTTCTTGCTGTTAGCAAGCTGATTCATAGCAGTGCAGATGACTTTTGTCTGTGTAACTCCTTAAAAATAAAAAGGACAGATAGGATACTTCCTTAATGATAGCAAGTATTTCTTTGTCATTTGTTTAATGAATATTTGGTATTTCCTGGCTATAAAAGAAAAGGATACAATTAATTAACTGGTTAATTAATTAATTTAAATGCCTGGCTGGCATTTAAATTTTGGCTAGCTGTCATGAAAGGAATTGTATTAGCCCTGTGGTACTAAAGATAGATTAAAATGAATTCTTCAGCTGAAATTCCAGAAGTTAAATTATATGAAGTGATGAGTACATACATGTGAAACTCATTTGTTTCTCAAACTATATACTGGATAAGTCTTTTTTATTAGCCACAAAAATGTCTGTGTGCAAAACAAAAGTCATTGCAACTTAACAACTGATTTTTCAGAAGTAACTTTTGGTTATTTGTTCCCAGGCTGCTAATTTATCCAGTTAACCATGTGTGGAAAAATCTTGCTGTCAAGAACTGAACGTCCAAAAAGCAGACAGAGGAATCTTAAAACTTTACTCGAATAAAGGGAGAGTCCACCGGGCATATCGCTGTGGTGTCTCTCAAGTTGCTGGAGGATGCAGCCCCCCTTTTATCCTAATTTCCCGACCGAGGGATGCCCTCTCCTTTTCCCAATTGGCCAAGATACTCAGAAGTTACAGCCTTCCCAGCAGGCCTGCACTGAACTCCCTGCTTCCCTCCATCTGTTCTCACCTAAGGTCACCTGACTCCTTTGTCCCCCGTGCTGAAGAATGTGGGGGAATTCCCTTATTTCCCTTATTTGTAAAGGCCCCCACCTCTTGGCAGATGTTCTTTTGTCCCACTCACTCATGCTTCAGTTTCCCCTCTGCCTTTGTCCTGCTCTTCAGCCAGACTGTGGGGGAATCCCCTCATGGTGAATACACAAACTTGAGCATTCCGCTCAACCACTTAATAGCAGCCCTACCACTAGAATACTGGGAATTCAAACCCTGAAAGCTTTTCTGAGAAATGAAAAGAGTACATGAAGACTACCTTAAACATATCTAGCACTATATTCACAGCTTTTTGTCAAGCACAAGTTTTGGGGAAATGCTGAATGTCGTTTTATTAAGAATGTTTGTGCCTGATGAACAGAGCATTTCCTCAGTGTTTTTTGTTGTTGGTTTGCATTTGCTTGCCTATTTTCTGATTTTAAAAAAAATAGATTTAATTTATTATAACACTAATATTCTGATGATTCCAAATATTTTGGGTGTTTTTTTAGAGGAGGGAAGCAAACTTCAATTTTTTTGAGTTCCAAAAGCAGAACAAAACTAAGTAGAGAAACTGATCCATGCTTGAACCTTAGAAGATTTTGTAAATGTATCAGTGTTATTTGCCTAGCTTAAGGCCTAATTTTGTCTCCTTGTGGTATGTAATGCTACTCTGAATAGCCCTTTTGACTGTGCTTCTACAGAAGACGTAGTATGGAGTAAGGGATGGAGTTGTCACTATGAGGAAAGCTCTTCATAAAATAGATCCTCAGGAGGTATTGCAGTGCTCTGTTGCAGCAGCATCTTTATTTCAGGTGCTTCTGTGTGTTACTGTCCTTATTCTTTTTGGAGATTTTCATGGGAGGGGAAGCTCAAAAGCAGAGTATGAGACAGGACTTGGGAAGCAGGAAAAAACATCTGGAGTAAGCTAGGAAGTAGGAGACCTGGTAGACTTTGAGTTACAACAAAGGTAGCAATGTACTGGAGAGGGCTGAATGTGCTCTCATCCTATTAGCTGTGACCACTGCTGCCTCTGCTCAGGAAAAGCAGTTGCAACATAAGGGTGAGCATGCAGTTGTGACCAGCATGGCCATGGTGAGGCTTCAGAGAAAAGTACAGGTTACTTGAGGGGGAACTTAAGGGGCTTGGACCATTCTTTGTCTTCAAATAGATCTAGACTAGATTTTAGATGCTATTTGTTCTCCTGTATATAAATTGTTAGCAGGGTAGAAAAACATATATATATGTGTGTTTCTCTTCTTGTTTTTTTTTTAGACACTAGGAATGACATGCAGAAGGAAAGTAATTTGAAAGAACTCCTTAAAGAATTGCCTGATGCTAATTATTGCCTGCTGAAGTATCTCTGCCAGTTCCTGACAAAAGTTGCTGAGCATCACGTAGAGAACAAGATGAATCTTTGCAACCTTGCCACTGTTTTTGGACCAAACTGCTTTCAGTAAGTTGACAGGATTTTCACTTTTCCTCTCATGTTGGCTGAGCATATTGTGGAGCAGATGGCCAGTAAGGTAGCTCAGAATAATAATTTTAGAATAATAAAGCAAAGGCTATGACAGCTCTCTTGGAGTATCTTTTAAGGCTAGATATTTGGCCTGACTGAGAGGTAAGTTGCTCTCCCCTCTCCTCTTGTAATACTGCTTTCTGTAATACTGTTTTTATTGCTGTGTTGCTGAGCAGGAGAGTACGATGAAAGAGGGTGAGTGTGAGGGCAAGGCGATATGAACTTATACAACTTTCTTCCTTGACTATCAAATAATATGGAGGCTTCTCTACAGAAGGCTTTGAGAAAGAGTTTTAATGGGGTTAAGTACTCCGTCCTGGCAGCAGCCAGGTATTGCAAGCTTCCAGAGATGATGCTGCATAGAGGTAGCCTCAAATGATCCAAGGATTGTTCTCAAGGTGCCAAGGATTCTGGGCTGCTGTGTTTTTTAAGTCATTCTACCGTACTTAAAAACTGAGCTGAAGGTTTTGGAGTTCGGTTAGTGTTATGGGACTTGCTACCAAATCCTCTAGTTTTATTGTCTTTTCCTGTGTCCCAGTTCTTGATTTCTTGCTGTTGGGTGTTATAGCAGTAGTGAGGAGAGTTGGTTCCAGATGCAAGAATGTTTTCGTGCAAGAATGTTCTTTTTCAGTCAGCTGTGCGAGACAAGGTGCCATTAGCATACAGCTCCCTATATTGCTTGTAATTAACCCACCGACAAGCTTTCAAGATCAAGACAATAATACAGAAGACATGTAGGGGAGTGTAGTTCAGCCATCAATCTTGGAGATACCAGCACCAAGAGAACCTGGTTCCCTGTAGCAAATGTCCAATTGGTGTTGGTCCTTGTAAAATTTCTTTCTGGAGTAATAGCGATTGCTGTGTTTCTTAATGAGGCTATCTTCCTAGGCTTCCTCTATGATCAATAAAAAGAAATATGCTACTTCAAAGAGAGAAAATGGAGGCAGAAGTTAGCTTCCTTGCAGTGTGCTGAAGCTGTTCTACATACCTAACTTAGATACTGCTTCATCCCTTTCTTGAAGGGACATATCTTTTTCTACTATTAATATCTGTGTAATTACTGCATGCAGTGAAAGGAGATCAAGTCCATCCCCTGATATTGAAGGATTGCTTTCTACAAAGTACTTTTAGCAAAATTTTAGATAGAGCAGGAGAAAACAGTCTTAACTATCACTAAAGCTGTTTTAGAAGTGAATAAATGAAATGGTTCCAGGCAAACTTCCAGACACCTAGTATTTTGATGTTGTTCATTTCATTCTATTTCTCTACTTTCTTGTCTTCCAGCCTTCAGACATTTATTACCTTTATTGTTCTCTTGTCCACTACTTCCCCTACTTCCTTATTTGCGCTTTGTCAAATCATACTGGTCTTCCTCTAATGAAAGAGGTTATCATGCTCCCTGTTTTTATAATGAATAGAAAAGGGGACACTTGTCAAGAAGTGTAATCTGAGTTGAAAAAGAGCAAAATATTATTATTTGACATTTAGTGCAGTTTCCTTCCAACTTTGATTTGTTGAGATTTATTGTGATGGAAGCCAAAAGTCAAGTATACACAAATAGAGCCCTTGAGAAACAAAAAGCATGGTGTTATTGAACATAAATAACATTGGGCTTTTCTATCATTGGGCTAATGCATGTGGAGGATTAACGCTTGCCCCGTGGTTATTCCTGGAGAAAGTGGTTGTCCACTCATTTGAATTACAGCTTCTGTGCATCTGTAGCCTAAGTCATGGCCTGCTTTGCCTCTGTTCAGCTCTCGCAGCTAGTGTTCAAGAGGAAGCGAAGGACTTGTGAAACTCCAGCCTCCCTGAGTTACGCAAACAGAAATGCTAGCTTACAGAATGGTATTTTCCTGGCTTCTTAAGCTTTAAAAACTTTGTTCTGTTATTGTGTGGGGAAAAAAACCACCAGGGACAAAATCATGTGATTCTGCAGATCTGCGCCTAAGATCAAGCTGCTTCAGAAAAGAAAAATTAAAATTATGAAATTGGTGGTATCCAACTGGATACTGAACGTACGACTATCAGGTGGTGGTTTTACATGATGGGTACCAATTTCTTCTTCCCATTTCACCATTACTTGTTGAGACTTGCTGGGTGACATATATTTCATATGTCCTGTTAACTGACATGCTTGTAATTTTCCTGTAGTGGCTAGGATAGAGGTCATTGATTGCTAAGGTCGTTATGAATAACATTAATTTTTAGTCAGAATATGTTTGTGAATAAATAATGTAGCAACTTGATTGTTTTATGAGATAGTGAATAAAATCAACTCCCAAATTGGCTATGACTGCTTAGAAAGTAACCTTAATATAAAAGTTTATTGAGAATTTATCCTTCATTTTTAAGCAAATGTATAAAACAGTACTTCAGGCCCGTCATTTTGTTAGCATGACACTTGATTCTATTTATGCATTAAAAGCTGGCAAAACACTGCCACAACAATGTAACGTACTCCCAGGGCACCCTCTTCCTGTTGCTAGCGAATTAAGCACTGTATGCACTGTGACAAATTGTTTTGCGGTTAGATCACCTGTGGTAGTGGTGCAAAATAAAACCTTTAAAAAGGTCTATCTAGGCAAAATAAGGCTACCTTGCTTAGCAAACACAGCATTTTTTTTTCTAAATAGGGACACTGCTAATGGCAGCACACTGCCTCCCTGCTAGAGTCAATAGCAATTTGTTACCCTGCGCAAGTGATTCAATATTCTGCTTCATTTGTGTCCTGAACTAGTTGAAAGTGCTGGAAAAATTGAGAGAGGCTGCCAGGGCCTCATGCAAAATGCTTTGAAGCTGGCAGGTGTCCTAGGAGTACAGCCCATTGGAACTTCTGACAATGGAGTTTGTTTGGGATGCTGGGATTAAGGCTCCTTCCTCGGCAGCAGTTGCCTTATGTGCAATGGAATCATTTGTGATCGTGGCCTTAGTCTCTGTTCTCATGGAAAACTCAGGTTTGCTGACACTGCTGATGCATCTTCTTTTAAAAACTCACGTGTTAGTCTCCTAAAGACTACTTAATCCAATTTTACCTCACGTAATTACAGTGTCTTGACTGGGATCAGTACAGTAGCAGCTGCAAAAGTATTCTCGGTAAAAGGAGTATTGCAGTATTGCATTAGCTTTGTGCAGAAGTCGTTGTTTTGAAGGGACTTGGTTCTGAGGTATTCTTCAATATTCACTTTCAATTTGTTTTATTATTTAAGGCATCTAGACTCCAACACTGCTCACACCCCTTTTTTTAAACCTCTAGAATGTCAAAATTATGGCTAGAAGGCCTCCTTTTGAGCCTGCACAAATGAGAGTATCTGCAGAAACAGTGTTTGCTTCTGCATAAATAATGCAATTGTCTTCTGTTCTTAAAAGTTCCTAGAAATGTGTGCTGGTTTTCTGGCTGAATTTTAGAGTAATATATGGTGGTATTTCTTGTTACTGCAGAATGTTTGCTTACTCCACCCTCCCCACCCAGGTCAAAGAACTTTATGCTAGTTGTTGTAAGAACTTCTATGGCTAGTGAGACATATTAATTCTAAAGTACATGTGCTTTTTATTTTACTCTTTTGTATGGCTGCTAAGAAATCTTCCAGTAGTTAATATAGTGTAATTGTTTTTGACACAAGTGTAGACTTTTTTTTATCCCCACCTGAAATTTGGTTCATATGTTCTCTGCCAAGCAAAATATATTTGGGAAGTTTGATGAAAACCACGTGCTTCACAGAGCTAGTATTTTCAAAGCTGTCTATTAATCTTCAAAAAAAGATCCCTACATAGTTTTAGGCTTCAGAATAGCTATTATGGGTATTATGGAAAGTAACTAAACTGAAGGAATTTAGAATATCATGTAATTTAGTTTAAAAAAGACTAAATAGTTCTTGTAGTTTCCAAAGTCTATGTAGTTTTATAGAGTTTTTTTCTTTCTTAACGGAAATGATTTTGAGCATTGATAAACTGCTTTTTACATAGTAAAGTACTTCAGAAATAATGCTGACTTTCTGTGATGGAATTATACGTATTGGTGCTTTGTGCAGTTTAAGCAGCTGCAGTTTGCCAATTATTATCTCCTTATGGAAGGATTTGATCAGGCCTCAGATATAGGCTCTGCTGGTTATGTAAAGCCTTTTCAATGGGCTTCTCAATGAGGCAAATTCTACTTCATGAACAAACTAGCCTGGACCTGTTACTAGGAATAGAACTGGAGGTGTGATAGAAGCTTGTAGTTTTTCCTGCCACCTCTTAAAAAAGATTTGCACAAAAATGTACAGAAGCAAAGGTGTCATTTGCATAATGGGATTATAGAGGGGTTTTGTGCTAGTTGTTAGGTTTAGTCTGAGGTTGGGTTTGTGTTTAGGCTATTGACATGAATATGTACAGCAATGTTTCATCACTTGGGTTTTGCTCATAAAATGTCATATACCTAATAAATCAGTTTGTACAGAATCTGGTCAGGTCTTAGAAATCCATGAATAAGATGGCTAAGTGCCTGTTTTAGGAGAGTTAGATGCAAATATGTCTGTGTGATAACCACATAAAACAAGTTATTTGGGGGCTATACCAGATGTAGCCCTGACTTGATAATCCTTCCTGTTTGCACTGCCAACAACATACATGCGCTCTACATTTTGAACTTGCTTACCTTCATAGAATCATAGAATGCCTAAGGTTGGAAGGGACCCCTAGAGATCATCTAGTCCAACCCCCTTGCACACGCAGGGTCACCTAGAGCACGTGGCACAGGACTGCGTCCAAGCGGGTTTTGAAGATCTCCAGAGAAGGAGACTCCACAACCTCTCTGGGCAGCCTGTTACAGGGCTCTGTCACCCTCACTGTTAATAAATTTTTCCTTAAGTTCCTGTGGAACTTTTGGTGCTTCAGGTTGTTCTCATTGCTCTTGGTTTAGAAAACACAGCGGGGGGTAGATTTCAGCAAGGAGGGAGAAAAGTTAAATGGGCTGTTGAGTAGCTGTAGGCATTTCAGCATTTCAAGACTTCTGTTGACTATGTGTTGCTGAATTTGTAAAAATTAAACCTCATCTAAATGCCTGTATGAATGTCTTACCTTGGTTTCTAGCAACCTTGGAATGTGCACGGGTTAGGCATATGGAGATGAAGTGAAAACCAAGAGCCTAAACTAGACGTCTTCAGTGAGCAATATCAGCCTTCGAAGCATTATGTGAATGGATTTTGTTTTTAGGCAATTGCCCCAATGTTGCATCAGTCGCAGTGTACTCAAAACTGTTCTAATATTCCTTATTGCAAATCAGAACATAACATTTCATGTGAGATTTGTATAGATTTAGGTATTTCATTTGCTAGCAGAATAGGAGGGTTTGATATGAACAAGAAGGCAGTATTGTACAGCCTATAATATACTTTTTTAAATGTCTAGCATAATATAGGAAGGCCAAATTGTTCTTACCCCTAGCCATATGAAATATTCATGAGTGGTGTGGTGTTTACTTTGAAAGTATATGGGTGGCTAGATAATGTAAAAATATCTCTGTTTTCTTCTCCTGTTCATTTTCTGTTACTCAGTTAGCTTTGTCATCTGTAATCTATTGGATGGCCTGTATGCAAAATAAACAGATAATCGCTGGGGATGGTATGGCCTCTTTATAAACAGAAAACAAATTGCAATGTGACAGTGGTAATCTGCTAATCCTAATCCCCCCTAAAGCTGAAGTTGTGTTTCCCTTTTTTGTGATCTGCATCATGTTAGGTGGGGTGATAATTACTTTCATCCAGCAGGTGAAATCCAAGTTGTCATTGTTTCTGTTTTGTTAGTCTTTTCCTAGATATATGGGTATTTTCTTTGGTATTTTCTTATTTGAAAAACCTACTTTAAAATAAATTACTGCTCTGGGCTGCAACTTTTCTTTCTTCAGATCCTGATTCAGGAATGGCATTAAAACATATGCTCAAAATTTAACTGGAGGAGTGGTTTAAAAAAAAAATCAATATTTGTGCATTTTTGTTTACTTGTGGTCTTGGTAAAGCTCATGTTAAAATTCCTGCTCTACTAAGATGTCTCTATTCTATATGCGCAGAGTTTGTAGGTGGATTTGAGACAGAGGCAAGTCTAGAAAACACATTCATGATTTCTTCAGCATTTTCTTCCGTGTCCTGGAACAGAGGTAAAGGAGCCCATCAACTCTGGAGGCAGTGGACCCCTTAAAAAGTCCTGTCAGTCATTCACTTTCAATCTTGCACCATCCCCTTTGCCCCCTACCCCACTCAACAAAAATTTTTAGAAAAGAGCTTCAAGAACCCTGAACAGACCTAATCACATAGCCATAATCACAATGGGAGGAGCCTACTTTGTGTGGGAGGTAGGCAACAGATTGCTCTTTGCCTCCATGTTTACCCGAATGCAATTTCCTTTTGGAAAATAGAGCTCTTGCGGAAACAAAAACTTTTGAAGAAACATGAAGCCTTTATCTAACAAAGCCTTTATATAAAAAAAGACTTTGCAGTAGAATCTCTCTTGCTGTTCTGCACTACCTCCCCCTCTACAGAAGGTGGAATGGCTGAGTTGACATAACTCCTAAATTATGGGTACAGAAAGTAATCTGGCTGAGATATTAAATATAAGTTGCCTCCTTTCAGAAGCTGGGATACTTCTGAAAAATCTCAGTAGTAATTTGTTGTTGCATTTGGTCCAAATGCATGAGAAGGCAGTTTGTAAATCATATAGAGCCTGTAACTCACTTGTCCAAGCTGCAATAACTACCTGTTGTAACTAATCTACCATGCTTTTAGCTGCTTCTTGGCCTTCAGTATTTTGCTGCAGTGTCAACACAAATGAAAGTATGCCTATTCTCAGCAGCACCAGTTTGTTGTCTAAGTTGAAATAAATCACCTTCATCAGCCGTTACCTTTCTAGACTGAAGTATAGGGCTGAGTTGTGTGAGATGAGGTCATGTCTGTTACCACCGCAGTAAGATCTGTCTAGACAGACAGAGCAGACAGCTAGAAGTTGTAATCTCTTAAACTAACGCAGATCTGCTTTCAAAACCTTCTATCCTACATCCTGAAGTGTTCATGGACACAAGAGCTGGAAAGAAAAATTCATTATAGGGTTCCCTGACCTTTGAGTTCCCTCATTTTGTGACAGATTCTCCCAAAAGACTGGTCAACTTACTTTGCAATTCTTCTCCCCAAAAAGCAGCAATTGGAGAAGACAGAGCCCACAGTGCTTTTCATGTTCAAGTGACAGTGCTGTCATTCCACACAGCTGCTTCTGCAAAACCCCTTGAGGAAAGAGTAATATGCCTAGAATGGAATAGGACATCTCTGGAAATTCAGCATGAGAAGGAACATTTCACAGGGACAAGGGCAGTTCTCACCTGTGTTGGAGAGCTGTAAGCAGCTGCTGCCTGGGGCATCGGTTCAGCTCCCTATGGACAGATGACCACAGCAAGAATCCTCTGGTCCTACAGAGCCTTCGAGTGATGCTATATCAGGCTGGACAGTGTCACATTTAGATGTCTCCAGAATTCAGTCAGATGAGTGCAATAAAACATTAACCAAAACACTTTTAGAGTAGCCAGTTATTTGTAAATTTTGCTTTGTTATTTATATTAAATAGTAGTTTATTTTCAAATAACATCTGTGTAAAATAGCTCAGATAGCATTGAGAGGTTGGTTGTTTGTTTTTAATTATGTTTTTTTTCTCTCGTAGAATTTTAACCAAAAATACTTGCACTTTTTTTCTTATTTTTTGGTTTTTGCCTCCTTGCTGCTTCTTTTTAAGTCTTTCCTACGTTTTCTGTATTGCCTGATCTGCTGTCTCTACTATTCTTTGTAAGGTCTTTAGAGGAGTCAAATACATGCGACCACTTTATGGATGATTTAAAGAATGAGTCTGCTGGAAATACAGTATTAGGCAGGAAAAGCATTTTAAATGCTGAAAAAGATTGTCTAGGAAGCCTACTTTTGCATTTAAAACAGGACTTATGTCAATGCTGGGCATCAAATCTAACTAATATATGCAGAAAAGCCTACATTCCAGAAAATTCTCCTTAGATGATTAAATTAATCAAGGTTCCTAGTGCAAGGGGTGTTATACATAAACAGAACTTACACAGGTAAGTGTGTGTGTGTATATTTGTATTCAGTATAACCAGGTGGCAGTGTCGTATGAAACATAAGGAATGTAATGGAGCACAGACTGGAATACAATACTTACAAATCAGTTCTTTGCCTCTTTGTGTACATTCAAGCTCTGTGACAAGCATTCCTGACTGCAGAGGGGTCCCGTTCAGGAGGGCAAGAAGTTGCATCTTTCTACCCTTTTCTAAAGCCAAGTAGCTGGGCTATCTTCCCAGGAAGTAGAAGCTGAAAAACATCTCTGTCTTTTCATATGAATCTTTCAGGGTGTTCAGGAGAAAGCATCCTCCCTCACTGTGTTTTGAAATACTCTGTAAATTATAAGGTTTCTTTAAAGTGAAGACTCAACTCGCACAATAGATGAAGAAACATGGTGTACAGCCTGGGGTCACCGTAAGATGTAGCTGTCTTGCTTAACATTCCCTAATACTGTCCTGTTCAGCACTTGGCTTTCTTATGGGTTTTTTTTTTGTGTGTGTCTTTTGTTTTGTTTTTTGATTCATTCTTCTCGCATGTCTTTGAGGTCATCATGAATCATTTTTTGAGGTACCCAGCTTTTCCCATTGACTGGAGAGTTTAATTGCCTCATGCTATTTGCACTGCAGTCGTGAACCCAACTTTCAGATGTGTGGCTTAAATATATGGTGGAGTTGGTTCTGTGTCACTTGCTGGTTGTCTCACTTGGATTTCTGCCTTGATTCTGCAGAGTAGATAATTCAACTAGCAGATGAATATCAAATATCAGTAGGAAAAACTGCAGTCCAACTGCTATAGTTGTAACCAACAGAGATGTCCTTTTTTTTCCAGACAGAATTTTTCCTGTGTCTTCTAGCCAGCTTGTATTTGCAACCGAAATGTTAGAGGGACTTTGTACGGGAACATTTGTCTGTTGAGTACTTATAACACTGTGCTACATGTTCCATCCAATTTCAGTGTGCCTTCCGGTTTTGAAGGGATAAAGGAACAAGAAATCTGCAACAAGATAATGACTAAAATGCTAGAAAACTACAGTACGTTGTTTGATTTGGAGGGTTTTAAAAAGGATGAAGAAAAGCCTGCATGTGAAGAGCTAGCAAGAATTATTTTGGTCAAAGTGAGTATCTCTAATATTTTGTTTTCTTACAACAAATCAATAAGGTAGGCTCATTACAGACTTCAACTCAGAAATGTTTAGATGAGTGGAGGCAGGACTTGCCATAATAATGTTCTTTAGTATTGGTCGGTGTGTGGTTTTACAGATCAGTTCTGCTCATAGGCTGATTTTTGTCCCTACTCTGGAAGTTGTTTCTGTTCAACAGCTTCATTTTTCATTGGTTAAGATATTCCCTGTTATTGATACAAGAAGTATATCTGCTAAAAAATAAACATATTGAAATGAAGAGGGATGATTTTAGGAGACATCCAAGCTTTCTGACATAGTGACCATTTATTCTCTGCAGATGAGTGATGATAGACTGTCATACTTAAAGACAGTATGAAGTCTTTAGCCTTTGCCATTCTGATGCCTGCTTGTCTCATACACCTTTCTGAGTCTAAAAGCCACATTCTGTTTCTGTTTTGTTCCCAGTTCTGTAAAGCCTCCTCTTGCTCATTGCTCAAGCATATCATAGGATTATAGTTAGAAATGGTGGGAAGTTTTTTTCTTGATAGAACTCCTGTAGAAAAAAAAAAGTATGGTTTTCACAAAATGGAAGCTTTCTCTTAAAATGGTTCCCATTTTACTGTGGAACTGAACTTTCAGATCCCTGGAGGGATCTAAATCCTTGTCTGCAAGGTCTTCAGTCGCTTCTCACTGCACCTGGTGAGATGAGATAGACAAGATCTTCTGGGCAGATAGCCAGCAGGTGGAAGCATAACATGTGCTTTTTCTTTCTTGCTGGACAGTGCCAGTGCTGAAATATTTATCTTTCTGAGCTGCTATGCATTTATCGCGTTATAAATATCTATGTGTTATAAGACAATGTTATTTATGTTCTATTTCAAAGTAGAATTCCTGTCTTGTTACAGTATGAATTTGATTGATTTTTGTGGCAATAAACTGACTGATAACTTGTGTATTTAAAGATTAATCAGGCTGAGTTGAGGAATTGCCAATTTTGTGATCTGAGTATATTAGTTTAAGAAATCCACAGTAGTAAGAATAAGAATGCTTTTCAGCTGTGGTCTTTCTTGTCCAAAGATCTTAGAAGCACTGTTCAAAATGCAGCTGCATATAGTCCTGTATTGTACAATCAGCCACTGCTGTGTGCTTTTAACTGTAGTAAAATGTGGTCTTTAAAAAACAGTGATTAATGAGTTTTTTTCAATGGTCAAAGATAGGCAGCAACAAGTGTTTTTACTTGGGAGTGTCCAGGGAAATCAGGAGGGGAAAGGTTTATGAGTCAGCCTTGGAATTACCCGTTCCACTGATTTCAGATAAAATATGTCAGCCTCTGTAGCATGATGATTTGTAGGTCACTATTGTCTTAGAAAGTATTACGTATTGCCTGAGACCATTTTAGCATGGTGTTAATGATTGATTTTCAGTATTGGATTAATTCTTTCCTCACAGAAGTCAGTGGGAATGGATCCCTTTTGAAAATCCGTTCTAAAGGTCTCAACTGGAGTTTCTGTTTCATCCATTATTCCCTCATTTGGATAAGTCATGCTAGTTCCCTCCTGTCATGTCCAGAGAGCATCAGAGCATAGGAGCAGGTTCAAATAAGATGGGTGGAAAGGTCAGGGACAGATAAGGAGCACCTGTGGAAGTCTATTTCTGCTTTTAGTATTTCCTCAGCTTGTATTTACCTCACAGTTGTCCACCAGTGAGCAGATGGACATGTTTATAATAAGGGTATATAGTGATTCAGACAGAATGACATGTTAGGATGTGAGCTGACAGGAAATGAGCAATATGAGATTTGTAGGGGAAAGTTTAGAAGCCTCCAAAACCCTTCACCTATAGTAGACTGTTGAATCTCAAGTGGGGAGGACTGTTATGCTTAGGCTGTGATTCGGAAAGGCAAGAGAAAGATCATATGAGCCTCAAACAATTCCTTGTATAATTTTGAAAATGTTTTGTAATACTCCTAGCTCATCTGCTTTTGACAACTCCATATATGTAGAATACTTCTGCTCTTGAAAGTAAGAGCAGTAATACACTCATAAGTAGAATATAAAACTGTCACTTGTGGTGCTACTAAATACTATCCTGAATATTTACAGAGATATGTAAAGCTAAACTGTGTAAACTAAAAAATGTTTTTGGTGATATTTCTTTAGCTGGAGTTTCACTACAGCAATTTTCATTTTAGCACATTATGAGAATAAAACAGCTAAACTTTAGCACATTTAAAATGAATAGAGATCTATAACAAACTTTACTTTTTATGTTACTCTCCATATTTCTAGTATATGGTTCCTCGCTTGAACACAGCTGGCCGGTTTTGTAGTTGAGATGGTTAGGAAATTTACTTCTATTATTTGGCAATTTTTTTCATAAAGAAATGTCCAGTAGTAATCGTTCCCGAGTACCATGAATATAGAGAAAATAAAGTCCTTATGTGTCCCCACCTGTATTTGCACATTTTTTATTCATTGTCTTTTTTTTGTTTTTGTTTTGTTTTGTTTTTTGGGGTCACCATGGTTTAGGAACCCACTTGGGAGAAGTCCCTGTCAGTCAATACGACAACATCTATAGAAAGGGAATCATCAAAGTCAGCACCAAGGAATAAGGTATAGTAAAATGAGCACGTAAGCCTCTGCTCTAGCCAGTTGCTTCTTATGCTGTACCCATGGGGAAAATAGGAGTTTGGTAGGAGGATGAAAACTTTTCTACTAACACATCTCTCGGTTCCTCCTCCTCAGATTTTCCAATGTTTGTTCTGTTTCATTAGTTAGTCACTAAATTAATTGGGTTATACAAAATAATAGGCATCATTCCCAATAAATTGCAAGGCTTCTCACTGAATGAGCTGCTCATCCCATTATAACTGACCAGTGAAATGCTCGTTGGCGTCAGTAGAAGTACTATGCATTTTTGAAAAGCCCTCCCTTAAATACTGTTAAGGTCAGAGTATGTCTAATAGACATTGGATCGGTACATCTTGGTGCAGCTGTAATAGCCATTTCTTTGAAGGTGCCCTGAGATTTGCTTCTAATCAGCAGGACTGAGGGCAGCTGAAGAGCAGCAGAGTTTACTCTGCAAGGTACACAAGGAGACAGACATGCTGTATGTGTCTGACTATGGAGGTTCCTGAAAATCTGATCTATCCTGTAAATTCCACCGCTGTTTGACCTTGATTGCCAGCAGTGGTCATCTCAGTTTCCGTATTAAGACGGAGTTCTGTTCTCTGTGTGCTAGAAATCTTAACAGTGGTAACTAAAACAATATAGTGACACTTAAGACTGTAATTTATTGCAGCGTCATATACTCCTTTTAAAAGAGACACTGCTGAATTCTGTGCATGAAAAAGATTGTTCCATGTGAGTATTTTGATTTTCAGATCAGAAATGCAACTTAGCTTTTCCAAGGCTGTTTTAAAGCTGTTGTAACATGAGATGCAGATCCAGAGAGGCAGAATTTCTCCCATAGTTAGGTCATGTTTTTCTTTTAGATCATGCTTTTTCTAATTATGGATAACTTACAGTAAATAGATAAATCAGATACCTGTTTTCAAAATTGCCAGGGGGGATAAAATGTTCCTTTAGTACTGATTTTTGGTTTGTTGTCAGTGGGCACAAATACATATTATGTAAACCCAGCAAAATAACAATGTTGCTGTGTCACTTTTTCAAGGTTTTTTTTTTTTTTTTCTTTTCTTTCCCCCTTCGGTCTAAAACTCTCCTTCAGGCTCCTTATTGGTACTTCAACCATGAGAAGCTGAATTGTGCTCATTAACTGATTATAAGGTACATTAGCCCTGCCAGCTAATATATACCTATAAATTCTGGGGATGGGCCTGGAAGATGAATTTCTCAGCTCTGTGAATTCGTTATCAATGTCAGGGGAAGTTACATTCCACAAGAGTAGGTGTTTCCACTACAGAAAGATGCCTATTAATTGGACTTTATAGGTCCTAGAGGTTTAAAAAAAAAAAAAAAAAAAAAAAACCAACCAACCAAAAAAACAACTACCAGTTACCTAAAAGATAGTCTTTATAACCTGGAATGATTTCTGCTAACAGTATTACCTCTTAAACTTTATCAGTATTCAGTAAATGGTCCCCTTGGACTGCTAGAAACATGTTATGTTTTTTCTCCTAGAAAATACCCTAATATTACATAGCCATAGTTGCCAACCTTCGGACTTATCACAGGGTCATTACTATGTTTGTATTTTCCTTTTTGATATTGCAGTTCCTTTTAAAAAAATGTTTTTTCACATATCTGTTGCTTTTGTATCACAGTTCATGACTTCTGTGTGTGCTTTGTGGCAATCTCTATAATAATTGAAGTAGGTTAAGGTTGTACTGATGTGTGAAGCAAAGTAACCTTTAGCAGTTTATGCAAAGAGGTCTAGTCTCAAGTAAGAGGTCACATACATAAATAGCCTTGGGACAACAAAAAGAAATAAGAGGAGGACTGAATAGGTTATTAACTTAATAGCTGAAAAGCGGTGATGCGTCTTTGGCAAACTGTAAGATTTTGCTTTTTATTGCTGCTGTCTGCAAGGGCTTTGCTGAATTCTGATTGCCGGAAGTATAAATGATAGCAAGGTGAGAGAGTGGATAGATATCAATTTGGCTTTATTCTTCTGTATATATGTCAGTCGCAATGGAGGTGAAAATCTTGTATATAAATACTTGATGTTTCATCCTCCATTATTTGTGTTGTTTAGATAAAAGAATATTTAACAGTTTTACTAGCATTCCACTTCTAACAAGGAAGTTTTCATTATTTTCTAAGTACAATATACTCAGGGTGATTAATTAAGGAAAGGGTAGTTAATGCCTGTTAAAAAGAGATTTTAAAATTCGGTGTCCCTATTAAATCATTGTCTGTGTTCTTCCTGAAGACATCTGTTCCACTGAACAATGACACCTGAATAAAAAATGAGTTATTCTATCAGGTTAACATTCATGAAGTTTGCAGTGGCCACATGAATTGGAGAATATCTTTACAATTTTCAAGCTGTTGGCTACATGGTTTTAGTCTTAAGTGTAGTGTTTTTGTCATTTTGCATGGCTTATGGAGTCTTAATCAATCATGAGCAATTTTCCAAAATCGCAGAGAGAAAGAGATTCCTTGTTTCCTTAGGCTGTGAATAGGAAGAAGAGCAGCTCCGTGGCACTTTTGCTTGTGGCAGCCTTGGTAATACTGCAGACTGTCTTGTTTGAGCTGCCATGCTCTGATGGAACCCTGTGCAGGAGGCAGCCCTGAGATGAATAATAGTCCCTCATCTAGCAGTAAGCAGAGAACCGGAAACTCGGAAGTACATTGTATTTTTCTGGCCATGTACAAAACTGTTGGGCACTTTTTTTACAGCTTATGGCAAAATTGCTAGTGTGACTCTGCTGACACCTACATCAATAAAAGGCTGTGTTACTTTGGTCTATGGGGTGCTACTGAGAGAAATAAAATATTGCCACTGTACAGCCACTGACCCAGTAGAGAGGCAGCTGCTGCAGGCTGTCCCAGTGAGCTCAGCTATTGCGTATCTTTTATGATCATTCACAGCATTGAATTCACTGCATGATGCTATAAATAGCAGGTCATCCCACGTAAGAATGCCTGTCCCAGCTGAGGTTTGAGATCCTCCAACAGTGCCCATAAGCACATGACCAAGAGGAGTAAGAGGAGAGCAAGGCATGTCTGATATTTTCTTCAATTTCTCCTCTCACCAGCTTCTGACTATTCTGGAGGTTTTTGCGGCCTTGGTGTGGTTTGTGTATTTAATAATGTCCAAAGTACTTGTCCCATTACCTTTTGCACATGTGAACATTTTGCTTCTGCTCTGTCATATGGCAAGAGATTCCACAAATTATTTCCTGTTATGTGAAGAACTAATTCATTTTGTTTGTTTTAAACATAACTTTTACTTGAGGACCTCTTTTTTTTTTTTTTTTAATTGAAGGAAACAGAGAAGTCCATCCTTTCTCCACCACTCATGATTTTGTAAAGTTCTGTCGTATCTTCCCTTCAAGCTAACAGGACTATTCTTTTTTAATAAAAGATTAGTACTGACATTTGGAAGCTTAATCTCTACATTGTCAACAACTGCTTCCTCTATCAGGGCCCTTGCGTAGGAGTCTGTCAGTAAGCAAACAAGCATTTGTAATAACACTTCTATTTTGGGACACAAGGCCAAATGTTCTTCTGCGGTATATTGCATTTTGCTGAAGTTTGGGGAGACGTACCTTCCTTCTATCAGAAAAAAAATCTGACTTTATTTCTGTGAAAAATGAGTTTGTAGCTTCACAGTGACATAAGTTTGCATTTTTTGAAGTAAAGCCTTTTGCTTGTTAACAGGTTACAAACTAGACCTGATGCATTTTCCAGTAGCACTAAAAACTTAAGCTGAAAACTCAGGGGGTCAGTTCCCTGTGATTGTGCAGTTTTTTGAGGCCAAAAGGAGATGAATTGACAAACCAAATAGGGAAGAAAGGATGAACACAATACTGATAATGAGGTGGTTTCAAAAAGACCCTGGAATGCCAAGTTAACAACAAAATAAGTTTGTCTGTATCATTAAAATAGAGTACATTGTATAGTTATTGCTCTTGGTCTCTTTTTCCTAATGGCCTCTTAAGCTAATTATTATCAAATGCATTTAAACTCTTGTATTCAAATGCTTTTAAGTTCTGATTTTAGAGTACACTGTGTGTAGTGACTAAAAAGACAACAGAATATAAAAATTCCCTTCATTGTATAACTTATATCTGAGACTGCACCACTGAGGTTGAAACTTGACAATTTTTATCCGCATTCAACATTTTGTTGAAAATGTTAAAAGCAAGGGTTATATTTTCTTCAGTTTGAACTCAGCATTCCAGCCAGATAACAGTGCAAGATACAAGTATGCTGCATGTATTTTTCTTACCGGTAAAGGAACTAGCACAGTTTATTCTGCCTCAAAGAAGAAAAAGTATGCTGCATAAACAAAAGCTTGCTATAATAGTGGCTATTTTATCTTTCTGATGAAATTTACAGAGATTTTTTTCAATGGTTCTCATTCCTAAAGCCAGTAGTATAATCATTTGTGATGTGGGAGGTTGGGTCTGTTTGTGCCAGGGTGAGTGTTTCTTATTCTCTGCGGTGATGTTAGTCACCTCCCTAAAGTTAATTTAAATACATAACTGTGAGTAATTGATCTCTCTTCCATTCCATCCTGGTTTGTGTGTCCATGTTACCATAAAGAGGAGTAAGTGCATCAGTAGTTGCTGAGAAAGATATGTTGCCAAACAGCTTATAGCCTGGCTCTGATCCAGTCTGTCCTTTAAGGATGACCTTGACCTACTGTGTTTCTTCATTCAGGTGGGAGGAAGGGAGGAGCTGCTGTACTCAACCACCTGTCTTTATTGGCGTCAGCACGTCTTCGCATTAAAGGATTGTTCTCTTGAAGACTAAACAGGGCAAAGAGTATTCTAAGGATGCTCTAATCTTTTCTAATCATTCAGATTTCTGTAGTTAATTGGTTTAAAGTTTATAGTGAGGTGGAGTCTCACGCATTTAGAACTTACATTTTGTATGACTCGTAAAGAATCTGCTGGAGGGGAAAAATGCTTTGCTAGTAAGTTATTCTTACTGAGGAAAAGGGTCCATCTCTTGGGTCAGTATAATTTATGTGTTCTAGTTAAGAGTGCTGGGTTGGGTTGACTTGTATTAGGTGAATTCTTTTCTTAACTTTGGGGTTACAGACAAGTCATCTGTGCTCTACACTGATTTTTGACAATTAACATTTATAGCAGTATAACTGAAGAGCCTTATTCACAGCTCGGGAGCAACTGCTGGATAAACCCAGAGCTAAAAACATGGTCTCAGGCATGTGTGAGAGCTAATGGATTTGTTGAGCTGTTAGAGCAATATAAAGTATTTGGGGTTTTGGTAGTGGTAGTAATGCATCTTGCAGAAAGTAACAGTCCATGATCCGGAATGGACCAATGGGAGTTATTACTGAATGATAAGGTTAGGAAGGCATGAAAACATCTAAATTCGATTGCACATGTAGAAGGTGACTAAACTTTTGGTTTTGACTGATACATTTCTAACAGGGCCATGTGTCAGCAAACATTGCTTATCAAAAATAAAATGTTACCTGGGTACTCTCTAGTTTTTCCCCCTATTCTTTTGCCGTCTAGTTTAGAAGAGGTTAGAAAAACCTTGTCCAAAACCTTGCTTTTGACAGTGCATTGTGCGTATTCTTATTATTAG